TGTATTTATAGGTGTATATATTCCTGAATAAAAAACTTATCTTTGCATACCGATGAGTTACATCTGCTCCTCCAAATATTTGTTCAGCTGAATCTCTAGTCTGTGAATGTTCATGGTAACCAATTAGGCAAGTCAATAAAACCCAACCAAGTGAGATTACAGAAGGAGCTGACATGGTAACTCTTAGGAAATGGGAAACTTCTCTTTCATCCCCTGAATGTCCTCAACAATTTCTTGATGTACCTGTGGGTTACAGATCAGGTCTGATCCCAGACCGAAGGGAATCAGTGTGATGTTTCTCTAGTGCACTCAGGGAGATATGGATTGGGATTGCACACTCCCAAAGCCTCTCCTTAAACAAATAATTTTTTCCTATGGACCAAGACAGGAAACAAAAAAATAACCCTCTTGTGATTTATTTGGTCATGGTGACAGAGCAGCCCTCCTGAAGTTCATGTTTTGAAGCAATATACCTTGGGAACCGTCAAATACCTTAGCCACAAGATTTTTTTCCCCCTCCATTTATACTAAGGCATCCACATTTTCTCTTGCTCAAGCAGAAAAAATTAATTGTCTTCCCTTACAATAATACACATTCATCTTTTTTTTCCGCTCAATTGCACAAGTTAAAATCTCAGTAGAATATTTCATTATTTATAGCATTAACTATCATCCCAAATGTCAGAAGCAGTATTTAGGTACTCAATGTCTCAGTAATTCTTGTGTAGAAATGCTGTGTGCACACATGTGGGAACTCTTTTGGAGGAATTATTTCCTATTCCAAGTAATAAGACTTTCTAACAGGCTAAAAACAAACCCCACAGTGACCAAGGAGGGTAAGGCATGACCTGTTGGTACAGATATTAAGTGGTGTTACCTTTTCAGGAACGACACTCTTGCCATCCCACGCGTAGCCTCTCTTTGTGAAGTAATTCACCGTGGCAAATTCAATGAGTGCAGAGAACACGAAGGCATAGCACACTGCTATAAACCAATCCATGGCGGTGGCATAGGCCACCTTGGGGAGCGAGTTCCTCGCGCTGATGCTCAGAGTAGTCATTGTCAGGACAGTTGTCACTCCTGCAAAGCAAAGAGTTTCAGTGTCTTCAGAGCAGCAGCTCTATTTTGTGCTTCACTTGTCAATGTGACAATAGATGGGAAAGCCTTGTCTACACCTCTGATTCTGAGAAACTCTCCCACCTGAGTTCAGTTGTTAATTCAGGATATCAGATTTCAAGTTCTGTGGAAGTTGCAGGATCTTCAAAATATTTTATGTCTTTAGTCTTAGACATTGTTGTAGTAAACTAATATTTTAAAAGTTGAAATGGAAATAATAATGTGAGTTTTGAACTGGATACTACTTTATATTTCCTGGTATTTGGAGAATCGTCACTGTTCTTTATTCATACCCTGCAAATTGTCCTAGAGATGTAACAACTTAGCATCTTTAGTTCTTTCTCACAACAGTTCCAAGATAGCAGGAAAACTAAAAACCTTGTTGTTTCATTCATCTTATTTGGGACATGCTCCTTCAGAGGTATACTCAAGTGCACTAAGATTTGTGGGTTACTGCATTTATTTGAATTGATGTTTTTACAGATTTCTGTCCCTTTATTCATTGACATCCTGAAAGCAGCAAAGATTTAACGTAGGAACAGTGACAACGTAAATTGTATTTCTGATGTTAGAGCTTCTCATTGCTGAACCTTTCCCCTTACCTGGCCACAGGCAGCAAGCACTGAACTCACTCTGCTTGCAGCTGCTTGACAAAATGAATCTCCAAATGCAGGGTAGACATTTACATCAAATCACATGTCCACAAGTTACCTTGACAACTGCACTGTCATGTATTGAATGCGTCTGGCGAGTTCATCTCTGCTGCACTGAGTGTTAGTGAAAATGAGCAGTGGTCTAAAATAGGCCAAATAATGAACAACGTATTTACGTGCTAGTGTGAAGAGCTTGAATTATTAGTGCCTAATGAGGAAGCAGTTTCTCTTCCCTGAGAGACAACCTAATCTTGTCTTTGACTCATTACTTGTGAGCTTATGTTTCTCTTACATAGTAGTAAAACAGGATTTATAGCTTCTGTTATCTGTAATACTAAGTGGACTGAAAGACTTAAGTTGCGCTTCTGTATATATCTGCATTCATGCAAAATGTTCTGCAACTTTGTTTCTCTGCCATTATGAAATGCAAAAGCTATCTTGATACAGAATGATGCAGTAAACACTAGGCTATTTACTAAATAGCTGTCTTCTAAAAGAAAAACTTTGAGAAATGTGTGGGTTCTTAAGCCTGTGCAGATAGCAGTTTGAACATTGTGCAGTATTATATATTATTCATTGTGAGACTAGCAAATTCTGTTCTTCATCTAGTGACAATGAAGTACAGCATTTCAAACTGATGATCAGACATTTCTTTTTAAATGGCATGTGCAAAAAGAAGTAAAATAGTTACAATTTCAATAGCTTTGACTACAGAGGTCCATAAAAGTCCCTAGTAGAGCAGTTGTCAGTGAAGGTGATGATAAAAATTCCAAATTAATTTTAGTTGCTAGTCTAAACAATGTTATGTAAATCAAATTTAATTATACTGTGGTCTAAACCATTCTTCTGTAAACACACATCTGTATACCAACAGAAAGCCTTTGCCTGGTTCATGAGGTCTAAGGCTATGCAAGTTGTGATTGATTTCCAGAGGCATTGGGAAACTAAAGCACAGCTGTGAAGAGAGTCAGAAAAGGTAAATAAAAATAGCTCTTGTACACCAAGAGTTTCAGAGGCTGAATTTCTCCAAAGAGACTGTTTGGCTTTGCTATGTCCAGCATAAATGGGTAAATTTGCTCCAGCAAATCCGAAGGGCCCATAGCACCCTGTCCTTGCTGTACCCTGAGGCAGGCAAACGGGTTTAAAAGCCAGTTTGGCTGTGTCTTCCTCCACCCCCTCCTGCTAAAGGTGTTCAGGTGTCCTGTCTGAGTATCACCAAAGAGACTAGGCCACATAGCAGAAATCTCAGGTTCTAGTTTTCCTAAATGAAGATTTGTTACATCTGTTTGGTTTCCTTTTTTCAAAAATATGTACGTGAGTTGGATTAATAGCTCCAAAGATTATGCAAGTTATTTGTTTCTAATTTTAAGACCAGCATTTGCAAGCAGTGGCTAAACTCTGGGGACCAGCTGGATAAACTGGGAGTCCTTCAGACTGCCTCCTCACTGCATCCACTGAGTGCATCTACTCACCACTGTAAGCACAACAAATCGTGGCTGAGCAGGAGGCCTTTAGCAGCAGCCTGCAACAGGGATTAACAAAATTTTTAAGATAAGAATTTTCAAAGGGCATAAAGATATCAAATGATCAATACCCACTGACTTTCGATAATCTCATCATGACTGTCATTGTCTTGTCAGAAATGTTTTAATCATGTTCTGATTGTTCTGGAAAATTCAAATGCTTATCAACTACCTGAGGTGTTTTCGGGTCTCTTTTTACTATCAGTTTAAAAGTTTGGACCTACATCTTCACAAAGAAATGTGTTAACTCTTGTGTCCTGCACTATGTCCAGGCTCATGCTGTTCTCCAGTATCATGTTACACATAACTAGTTCTACTATAAAATTTCTTAAACCTATTTGCCTCCTGATTGCCAGGGGGTTTACAGTTTTGCTTACCAAATACAGTTCTTGCTGGAACAGATTCTCTGTTAAGCCAGAAGGACACCTGTGACAGTATCACTGTCATGATGCATGGCAGATAAGTCTGGATGACAAAGTAACCAATCTTCCTCTTCAAATGAAAATGTGTAGTCATAACAACGTATTCCCCTAAAACCAAGAAAAACAGGAACATTAAAGCTATTATAAATAGACAAGTTAGAGAGCTTTATAGGAAATATTTTTTTTATTATATTCACCCCTACTATAAAAAAAAGTCCTCAGATCAAACTGGGTCAGCTCTGAAGAAAACATTTAATAAACCTACTTCTGAAGTTCCACTAATAATACAAAACTAGACAGTTCTGAGAAATGCTAATTAAATTTACATATTTTCATCTCTGCTGAGTAGTGAATCAAAGTCTGCAATAAGTGGTGGCTGTTTAGAGCTCCTCTGAAAGGTCTTTTTCCAGTAGAAGATGGAAAGCCACCAGAGTATATTCATGTGATCACCACCACAGGCTCCCAGAAGTGTTTCAATTGGGCCAACCTCGAGGTGTAGCACTTGATGTGACTGTGCCTGCATTGCCACTGTTGTACTCTGAAGATTAAGTGTCCCTGTTCTGCTAATTTACTACTTTAGTAAATTATTATTCTCTCCTGAAGTAAATGGCTAATGCAAGTATAACACAACATTTTCATTAGCACTACTGTTTTGGGTGCTACAGAGCCTTATGAACAGCATCTGCTAATTGCAATGGAAAGGAATCACATATTTAAATGCATTTTATGAATACATTTAATATATAACATATAAATTGTTTAATCTCTCAATGTATGAATATGTGTCATACTCTAAACCTTTCTTGCCAGGGCAGAGCAAATAATGCTCATTTTCAGGTCACTATTTACATCATTGAAAATGGATTTTGCAAACCAGTCTATTCTCAAAAGATTGAAAACCCTATTGGGACTTTTTTTTTTTTTTTGAGCAGATTGATTCTCGTTATTATGCAATAAACATCATCTTTGGAATGAAACAAGTAGACGTAAATGAATGGAAACTTCTGTCTACATTAGAGATGACATGTGAAATTACTGTAGTTCTATTTTAAAATGTAGGCAGCTGGAAAGAGAAAGCTGCTCTTGTACAGGAAAAGCTTAAACTGGATTGAAAAACTATGTCTAGACATCGGCTGCTTATGCACTGAGCATGTCAAACACCCATTTTGTTAATGCAGAGTCTAGAAGAACATTCATTTGAACAATCTTGCTCAACATATAACCCCGAGGAAAACTTATTTGTAAGATGTGACAATACTCCTGGTATGTTTCAATATAAAAGACAGTGGCAAAGGTGGGGGAAGACAATACATTTTAAATTAAGAGGTAAAGCAAAGGATGTACAAGAAATTTTTTCAAAACTAGGAGTGGCAGAGGTAGCACAATGGGCATTATTACCTGAATTTTATTCACCTTTCTTTAACTTTCAGTGAAACAACCTTCCTCTCCTCCGTACCAGAGATTATGATCTTATGAAGGGTGCCAGTCTTGGCTAGGAGAGCCAATAATTTAATTTTATCTACTAAAATATGACGTGGGAAGCTATTTTAATGCAATCAGATATAGAATGCTCACAGTGGTATGTCAGAATTAATTCAGTGATTGTAGATGGCAAGCTAAGAATACAGAGTGAACACCCCACTGTACTCTGAAGCTTTATTTAGCTGCTTAAATTATCAAAGTATTTTTAACCTCTGGAAAATGAGAACAAGATCCAAAGCATAAAGGCAATTAAAAAGACAGGGATTACTCTCATCTGTTAAGCACTGCAGCAGGTCTGAGCTAGAAATCAGCTAAAGGTAATGCTATGAGGGGTGAATTAGGCAAAGCAGAGGCCTAGGATAACACCTTACAGCTCAGTTACAAGGCTAAAACACCCTCTTAAGTCTCTAAAGTACCAGTTGCAGTCATTTATTAGAAGACAGATCTTTGAGGAGATTGATTGAAATGACTGCAGGACACAAAAACACTCCAGTTATTTACTGCATCTTTAGCTTTCCATATCTTACGACTTTCTTTAATTACAAAGCATATCCACATTCATGGCAGCTGCTTTTCATTCTCTAACTTTCCAACAATTCCCCTGTAATGCTATTTTGAAAGCATTGTAATACAGCCATAAAATTCCCTACAAGCTAAAATTTCAAAGAGCTCTTGAGCAAAACATTGCCTATATTCACAGTGTCTGGTTGCTAGGCTTTCACAAAGTGTAGCTTATGCATATTATATGCTTTTATCTCTTATCTCATCCAAAAAAAGTGAGAAAGAAAGGTATTTCTTAGCTTCGTTGTAACTCCCAAAGTCTTCTCCAAATATTGTGCAGATAAATCTGGTTTCCATTTTACTTATTCCATGAGGTTTAAATTGGTTTGTCATATTACACAATATGAAGCATTAAAAAGTGGTCACACAAGTCCTGCATCTATATTAACCTAATATTTTCAATATCTGTCCACATTTGAGTATTTCCAGAGCTCTGGAAGGGTTTGTGCCTGTGCTCATTGCTTCTGTAGTCACAGTTTTTAACCACCCCTTAATTCTACAGCATATCACAATAATTGAGTCAAATGTGCAGGTACTACAAACTAACCTGGGTCCTTAGATGAAAAGAGTTGATAATTCAATAATGTTACTTTAAAGCTATTACCCAGAGCTTTGTAAAGTGTTTGTAATAAACTAAATTTATGAGGTCAGCACCTAAAATTAATGTGTACCACATCAGACATGGGGTTTGAGGTGGGGACTGAGTTTTAGCTGTAACAATACTGTCTCTATCACTGTAGGTGAGAAGTAAGGCTTTCCTTGCCATTAATTTAAAACAAAGTATTACTTATGGCATATAACTTAGCAAAAAAACCTCTTAAGAACATCCTCTAGGCAGATTTACAGAACATCAGAAAAAAACAGACCATTGTGAGTATAAATCCTGATGATTCTTTTCTGATGAAAGCAACATTCTCAAGGTGGCAAAATAATTCTATGCAAATAGAAACTTGCATGAGCCCTTTAAGCATTTGTTAAGATGCTTATGAAAAGGATCATTTTAAACTCTTTCTGAGTCAGTAAGAATCAGTAGCTGGCGAGTGACAGAAATTTTACATACAAATAAAAACTGCATGACTCTGCTTAAGCACAACAGCAGCAGCAGTAATTATTATTTTTACGTCTGTAGTGCCTGCATGTTCCATTGCCAGCATAGATGGATAAACTATAGCATAAAAAAGTTTTAGACTTCCAAGACTTTCTTGTCATTAAAAAATCAGTATTAGTAGTTACCCTGTTCTATATCCAGAAACAAGAATAGCAGGTGGCCTACTAGCCAAGGGAGAAATTAAAGAAGAAATAGATAAATAAAAGGACTTTATCAATCCACCGAATTATTTAATAGCTTTGAGAATGTATAGAATATCCCAGCTACACCCAACTCCTTGGCAGATAAGTATTGTTGTTCCAGACAACAATAAATATAATCTTAAAACTGCCCAAGGTGTTGTACAGTCCTCCAATGATCCCCAGAATCAGCTGCAATAGCTTCACTTTCTGGCCTATTAAAGGTGCTGAGAACTCTTAAGCAAAGATTGTCTTCAATTCCTTTTGTCTTTTTATATGATGAGTCATCACCCACGACTCTGAAAGTAGGGAGGAATTTCAGACTTTTCATTACATGTCATATCTTAAACCAGGGATGATGAGAGGACAAAGATGTGCTAGAAGATTCTGTTGAGACTAGTTGCCCACCTATCTCAGTAGGGAGAAAAGGGATTATTAACCACTTCTGATCCTCACCATTATTTTGGGGAAGGGAAAGCATTTTCCTCTCCAAAGCAAATCAAGAAGAGTTTTTCTTTGAGACACTGAATGTGCAAGCACTAAATACATTTCTTCCACCATTGTATATTATTATCAGGTAGTGACTAAGGAGGATTCTAAGTTTGGTACTAAAAAGATTCTGTAATGGGATTATTTTTAGTCTTGATAACCATTGCCTTTATTTCTTTATACTATTTTTCAGCATCTAGAAAATAACATCTTCATTTCAGCACATTTTATATATTCACTCTACTGTATTTAACTTCATGGACAGACATGGTAAAGAGCTTCTTCAGGTAGAAAAAGAAGGCAAAATTCAAACCTTTGAAATAGCATAGGCCAAACAAATTTTTTGTTTCTTTCTTCATAGAAATCCATGAAGAAATTTTGCACTTATGTTTCAGTTCTGTTTGAAAATTTCTTACCTGCCTTTCTTAAGAATTTATAGGGTGCTTCTCTCCTAGCTGTCTAATTACCCTGAACCGTATCTGATATTATCTATTTGGTTTAGACACTTTCCCAAGCTTATGAGTCTTTTCTGATTATCCTGTGGCATTACAATGCAAGCAGCAGGCAGGGAGTTGGTGATGAGTGCAGAGGGCAGCCCTGCAGGCTGCTGAGGGCTCTCTGAGCCAGCAGCTTCAGAGCAGAAAGTGCAAAGAGCCAAGATCCCTGCAGCTCCCCACAAATCCCATTGACTTTTCAGTGAAGGGCAACTGGGGTAAATTACTGGCTGCACAAAAGTCAAGGGCTACACTTCTGGCTGTGGCCAGGCCAAGAGTTCTCCCCTTTCCTTTTCACATGCCTGATGCATTCGTCTGTGCTCCGTAATGAGAACAGGGAATCCATGGGAGCAGTTGTGTTGATATTGTTCTTACGCAAAGTCTTTATTACTACCATCCCACCTCTTTTCTGATTACATTAACTGAACAGACGCTTCCAAGCAGTAACCTAGAAACTTGTCTGTGAGAGATTTTCTTGGCTCAATAGAGCATATGAATATTATTTTGGCAAGCTAAATAAAAAATTCGGGCACAAATTACAGTTCACCTTAAAGTGACTCACTTTCCCTTTAATGTTCATTGACTTTATCAATAACACATTAGAAAATTTGGTTTATGTGTAGGTATAAGCGTACTTCTCTAAGTCACAATGTTGGGTGCATTCAAAGCAACACAACTACTGCTCCTAAAGCAGTGCTGCTTTTGGTCCATTGAATGGTCAATCTGGGCAGCACAGCTCTTGTTCATGCCCAATGCTCAGTTTCTTACTGCATTTAGGTCTTCATGCCCCTTCCAAATTCTTAGAAAATAAATTTTTAAAATTACATCTTGAAACAAACACTGCAAATTGAAAAACAAGGGGTTTAGCCACTACAAGGTTGCAGGTATATCACACAATAAATGTCAGCTATATTTCTGTATCTCATTAATAATTTTGGAGTTAAAGCTGGTGTTAGCATTAAGCTAAATCCTGTTTGGATGTTCCAAATGCTTTTTTAATTTGATGACATTGTTTTTTTCATTCTCTAAATACCTCCTTAAAAAAATATATGCTTGCTTTTAGCAACTTCACTGCCTCCAGGAATATGATCTTTGAGGATTCATATTCTTAAAATATTTTATCAGCTTATGTAGTAAGTAGATAACACGATAAGGATATAAGGAGTGCTCCTTTATAATGTAAATTACTGTTTTTTTCTGGCTAGATCTGACTCTGTAGGAAGCTTTTTAATTGTTCAAATATTTTAACCACCAGGTGTAGTAGGAAAATAATCCCTGGATACATTATCTTTTCAGAGTCATGTTTTCCTAATCTGAAGCTCATATATTGCAATTTACCTCTCTCACTCTTATATATTTGTATGTTTTTATTCTGCTCTAAATTATATTTTTGGCAGTTAAACATGACCCTTCCCAAAAAACTTTTTTCACAGACCTGTACTGGACTGCACAATTCCAGAGTCCACAGTTTGTCCAAGCAGATCATACTGGTTCAATCGAGAGCCGTCTTCAGCCACAACCACTGACCGTGCTGGTTCCCGTGTCCATTCATACACAACCTCTGCTCTGGTATAAGCATCTAAATTAAAAGAAATACATTGCATTTCAGCTTTGAACCTTGTGTTGCCTTCTGGCTTTATCAGAACAGTTTTAAGCAGTAGTTTGAATATTAAATTCTCCTTAATTATCTGTGGAAACACACAACTTGCTTGCTGGAATTTATCTATGGGAAATACAACTGATTTTACAGATCTATCCATATGATGATTACATAAATATCTGCTGTAGGGCTGGACTAAGGTTGGTATAAAAATATTTCTCTCTTACCTAATTCCTACTTATGTAAATGTACCAGAGGTGAGAGTGAGATGTGGAATTTCATGTGCATGCAAGGACTCAACCCTTTGTCTACTTTTTAACTGCTGTCAGGAAGGACAAAACCCAGACTTTTCAGGTTTTCATAGTGTGATGTGTTGTCTTGGCCACTCAAAGACAGTAAGCCCTTCTCAGGGTGGCTTCAGTGACCTTCGCATCCTCAGCCTGGCTACAGCTCTCCATGTGGTTATCCCTCTGTCGTGCTATCCTTGCTGTAAAACAGGCCTAGCAGACAGTTCTGAGGCTGCCTAGGCTAGAGTGAGTTTAAATCACGATTACTGTATCTTTTTTTTTTCTTTAGTCATTTCTGAGAAATCCTCAAAGTCAATTGAGTCTAGATTAAAGCAAAAGTAAAACACTGTTGGCTCTCCAAATCTCAGCAGCCTGGTATGTTACATAGGCAATTTGGCAGCATATTATCTATGCCATCGAGGGGATTTGTGCTGTTATTTATCTTATTTCAGGAATCAAGCAATATATTTTAGTCTTAGTCCCGCAGTAAAATTCTTCTGTCTTTTTGTGTAGCCTGGAGTCTGGCAGCTCTCCCTCTGAGTAGTTAGGGTGGGAGTTAGCTGACTACATAGAGGCATCTAGTGTAATTCTTTACAACTAAGAGCATCCAAAGACATGTATGGGACTGAATGTGTGATCAGAACCTATATCAAGTTCGCACCCACCAAAAGCAGTTGGGAGCCAGGAGGGATATCTTAGGGATCCAAAATGACAGTAGAATCTTACCTACAAGATGAGATTTCCCCCTTTTTGAGACTGGCAAGCAGAAAAGGCAAGGGAGGAATCTGATTCACTTGACCTCATTTGTGAGTTAGCAGTTTTATCTTATCAATGGAAGAGATAACAGTCAGTAATTGAAGAGGTGGTGTTGGATGTAGTGCACTGGGTAATTAATTGCATGGCATTTGATTCTGCATTATTGAAGCTGAAGGGTGCTTTTATGCTCAGACTTCATATTCCCCAAGCACTGTAACATATCTTGGAATATGTTTTTGGAATCAATGGTAAATGCAAATCTATATCTAAATAATTCTGACTTGAAAAATAATGGCAGCAGTAAATACAGGAATTGAGTTGCTAATCTAGTCACATAAAGAGAGAGTGGCAATAACACTATTAATTTTCAAGCATTTGTTCTGGACTATGAAAGCTGCTTGGAAGAGAGATGACTGATTTTCTGAGCTGCTGAGAACCACTGGATTGGGTTAGAAGGGAGGGAGTACACTCATCAGTGCTGGAATGACCTTGCCCTGCCCTCTAACTGCCAGATTTTGGTACTCTATCCAGCTTCCACCCTCAGCTTCCAATTCAGATGGCGTAAGCAGCAATGCAGCCTTTTGCTCCCGTCACTGCTGGTGGGCATCTGCCTTTCTGATTTTGTTTTGCCAGCATATGGCATTTTGTTGTTCCAGAATTTCTTTAGCATTTGTCACATTGAATTTACACTGGAATAACCTCTAGCTTAAGCTGCTCTATGGCAAATCACTTTAGCCTTGGAGCTGGATCAAACGTCTATTGGCCTCTACAGCATGGGCAGAGTGCATAGGAGACGTGCAACTCCTTCCATGTGAGGCCTTTTGGAATCCAGCTCCAACAAGTGATAAGTAACAGTGGAGGATGCAAAAAAACTCTCATCCAATTTAATCCAAAACAAACAGAACTAGGAAACTCTACCTTAGGGAGCTACTAAGCGTAATATTGTAGTCTGCACTAAAAGCATGGCTTTTGTGACAATTAAATGCACTTTTCAGTAAATTTTCCAGTCCATTAAGATGATGGGTATTAATTCTTTTAGTCGTTTGACAGAAATGTCCCAAATGTAGTTAAATATAATTCTTCCTTTAAAAGTGGCAATTAAATATAAGAACTCTTCTTTTTCTATGTACAACAGTGAGCCCCATTTTGCTATCTTGCCTGGGCCTGCCCATTTGCCCTATGGGAGATATTTGTATTTCTATCAATAACTAAATATTGATAGAAATATTGTAAAACCTGATAATTATGACATATAATCTGAATAGAAGAAGGGGAAAGGTCCAGCTTTAAGGACTGTTTTGGACAGTGAATTCCTCATGCACTGTCTGCAGTAAAACCATGTTACAGAAGGAACTCCTTCCCATGAGGATCCCAGACTAGGAGCTTGCCTGAATTTTGTAGGGGAATGCAAGTTTTCTTCAAAATGCCTTGATTTTGTCTCACGATCCTTCCTAGTATTTGGAGTTACTTGTTTTTCTAGGCCCTGTTTAGGACAGTTGCCATGATAGTCAGTTCATGTTCAAAAGAAAAAAAAAAGGAAAATTCCTGTAAAACATGACAGACCACAGCTGCACTCTGAGCTTACAGCGTCAGTTATTGCCTCTGGCTGCAGTGTAAGAAGTGATCTTTCCATCAGAAATAGTACAGATTTATTTTTTTTTTCAATTCAGAAAATTATGTATATTAATATCTTTTTTTTTAAAAGATAGAAAAGAAACTAAACTAGATACAAAAGATATGCAGACACAAGTGCATGTCTTTCTGCTGTCTTGTTTTTACCTTGTGGTCTGGTTCTGGACTTGTATGTAAATCCATATTATCTACCCCTTTACATTAGTCATTTCTGCAAATCTTAGTCATTTATTTGAGGCAAAATCCTTAGTAATCTGGAAAGCTGTGCACTCTGTGAACCAGGAGTACATTAATCTGGGACACAGTGGGCAAGAAAGAACTCAGTGTAGGAAAAGAAGGGGAAATATTGTTCATACTAGGGAGTGTCTGGTGTTCAGGTTGTGGCTCAGTGATGCACAGATGTGAAAGGTGTCATCGGGTCTATAAAATTCAGTCTAGTAGTTCACATTTGTTCAACAACTGTTCATGGTTTAACTTGTCATTAGCATATTTAATGCACGATTAGCCACCTCCCCAGCCCCAGCCTGAATTCCTCCCGGGCACTTTAATGTGCCTATCCAAGGGTATTCGATCCTGTGACCACTCCCGATCTGCACAGATCTCCTGGTATTAATCTCCTGTTATTAAGAACCCACTGCAGCTATTTGCCCTGCTATTAGCTTCTCCCCCACCCCATGCTGTTTCACAAAAGATTTGGAAAGATTTATTGGAAATGCTGTAAGAGAACTTAACATTCAAGGAGTCAACTATTCTTGTTAGTTACGCTCCAAGGTTATATGAGCTTTTTGTTCTCCAAGTCTTATCTAGGAGGCTAGCAGCTCTTTAAAGACAAAACATCACTCCTGTCTCATGGTAAACATAGAGCTATTCAGCCCAAGTAAATTATTGCCCTGTCGGGTACCATGTGAAGAATGAATTGGGTGCTCTGTTTGTTGGCTTCTAAAATTGATCAAGCCACTAAGTACCCATTATCAGTGAAACGACACATTTCTGTTAGAAAAAAGTAGCCATTGAAGAAACAATTTGTACACTATTACACCTTCCATAAGTTTTACCTTCCTTGTGTTGAATCAACTAGGATAAATCAACTCTTCACTTTGTTGGGTTTTTTACTGAAAAAGTTGAAGGGGCACTATATTTAATTTTTACAAATATAATGTTTAGTTAACTCTCAGGTTGGTTTCTATTCAAACTGAAGTTTTGGTGGAAATTCTCAACTGACAAAAAGCTCTGTCAGTTACTGCATTGATTTCAATTACTCTACATTTTGTTCAGTATGTTCTCTGATCTGAGGTTACATGCTGCAATTGTAGGAGTCTATTTGGAGATTTCTGCGATTTTTTTCACTTCCAGAAGTTTTGCACGCGTGTAATATGATTATTTTATAATCCCAGGAAAAATTTTGTTCTAATCATACCGAGACTATGGAAGCAAAAATGTTTTCACCTAAACCAATTCAGTTCTCCATGGTGTGTATTACTTTTCTCTAACATTCATTTTGGGTCTTAACAAAATAAAGCAATTTATAAGATTAATATTTCCAACGTGACAAACTACTTTTCTAGATGTTTAGAGCACTGTCATTTTTGTCATTTGTGAATGTCCAGGCATGACACTGTAGGATATTTCAGACACATAAAATGTTCACTATATTAAATACAAATATACATATATAAGAATAAAAATACAACCCTGACAAAAAGTGAAAAATACACAAGATTAAAACCTTGAGGTTTTCTTAGTTGCAAAATACTCTTTTTAAAAGTGTCCTAAAAAGGGAGAAACCTCAATTTAAAATAAACTTACAGCTTCCAAATTTCAAGGGGCAAGCATGTGCATCCATAGGAAAGTCTTCTAAATGCATTGGACATTCTGCTCTCACAGTCAATCTATAACGGATTAATGAGCAAAAGGACACATTTATTCTAGTTTCATAGAATTAGCAAATAGATTTCTATTAAGACACACAGAATAAGTATAGCATCGTAACTGTTATGTGATTAATTAGCATTTAGAACAGGGCCTGAGTTGTCTGGCTGGGAGTGCCAACAGGCATGTGCAGACACAGCAGTGCAACTGGCTCTGCCCCTCTGCCACACACTTCACAGTACATCAGAGACATGCTCAGACTTCTAACTTGGCGTGAGGATTAAAGTCTATTAGCAACTGAAATTGCTTCCTTGCCATCATCATAAAATTGGCCCAGTCTGGATGCTCAGACATTCGCTGAAATCATTTCATTGCTATCAGCTTGAGTGCAAACATGTTTCTCAATAAAAGCGATTAAATAAACTAGAAACAGTCACATACAACACATCAGCAAGGAATGAACAATAATACTTGAATACTAGGCAGAAGATTGCATTGAGGCACTTGCAAAGGTGAGGAAATAGAAATGGTTATGCTCAAAAAAAGAGACATATGTGAACAATGTGCTGCCAAGACAGTGTTCCTGTGGATTAAATCCCTAACAGCCAAGCATTTAGAAAGACAAGAAAAATTGACCTAGACCTGTGTAACTATCAGCCAAGCAGATTCTACTTTAGCCTAGGCAGTCCTGAAAGATGTTGCAGAATAAACTGAACATCCCAAAAGCCTGAAGACTTTGTTTTCTCCAAATACTTGTACTGATTAAAAAAACCCCAAACTTTAAAGTTGTTAAAAGAAAACTCAGTGTTCACCTATGTACCAAGCTATCCATCTTGGCTGGAAGTCAACTGAATTCCTTTATACCCTGTGTGATTCCATGGGAGACGTAAAGAAAGGATGTGCAGCTCTGTAGAGACAACATACCATTTTTTTCATTCTTTAATTTGTAGTCTTTCAATCCAGAATGTTTTCATGACTGTACCATAATTATTTCAAAAGCATTTATTTAACTCCTCTGACAACTGGATAGCTAAAGTTCAGTTATCCATGAAGAGAACAATATATTTCCAGTAAGAGTGGCTTCAGCATAAAAATAATTTTTCTCCTAACTTTCCAAATGCTTTAATCAATTGTTTTTCTTGTTATGAATGGAATAAGCAATGTCTATTTTTAGACTGTCACACTTTGTATTCCCAAGCACAAGAAATGCTAAGAATGGGTAATGAATTCTGTGTGCATCTGCCTGTTCTTAGAATCTGCCTTCTGTAAGACCCAAAGATTAAAGACCTTTGTACACAATCTAGGAGTACAGATTATATTAAACTTTCAGGCTGTATTATACTTGCTGATGGAATCCTTGAAAGCAATGCCAAATTAAGGTCCTCTGGAAACTGATGGACTTCTAAGACTATAAGAACCATTTTAAAATTGAGCACTAAGACACATCCAGGGACTGTATAAGGTATCACAGCAGGAGGAGTAAAAATAAACACTGCAAATGGCTTGGTGTGTCCATCATTCCACAACCTAGTGTGAAAAAAATTACTAAGCAGGAATCAAATTATGCTCAAAAAGGAACCTGCTTCCTGTCTGGAAAATAACCTTTCACAAGTTAAATTATCAAACTAAATGAAGGATATAATACTTTAGGGCTCACCTCATTGTGTATAGCAACGTCCCATCCTCTGTAATTCGTAATAGTTTATTTGGCATTGTCATGTTATGAGCCACTGACTTCTTTCCATTGTGGAAAAAGGTATCAGGTGTCCAAATTTTGCTGGCCATTAAATTATTTAACCGGAGAACAGTCATAGGTCCTTTGAATTTTAATCTCTCATCTTTCCAGCTCTGGCGGAAAAATACATCTATAGTGTATTCCTACATCAATTCAGAAAAAAAGGGAAACACTTATGATGCCACATTTTGCAAAATGAGAACTTGAAAAATATGTTCTTACCATTCCCTAGAAGCAAGATGACTACTAACAAAATTAATAATTATCAGAACATTTATTCTCTGTATTACTTACAGTGTACCTGCAGCTGGTTATTAAACAGTTGCAATATCATAACTGTATTGAACAGAACAAATGTTAGGAAGAATAGTATTTCAGAATACTGAGACACAATAGATTGAGATATAGTGGAAACAAAATAATTCAGCCTTTTCTCACTTCTCCTTCCATAAAACTACCATTTGTTGCTGCAGATGGGAGGTCAGTATGTGTGGCACAGGAAGGATGTGTCTTGGAATAAACAAGCCTGGTGAGACAGGATCTTACCACAGCTTTCTTGTCTAAGTGTCTCATTAGCAGAAACATGGGATGAACCTGCAATAAGTTCACAGTTCACTAAAATTATGTGGTCTGATTGCTGAGATGTGGACTAAATCACTGGACTACAGAGAGCTGAGGGCAGCTTTGGGCCAAGAGTTACAGTTTGATTACACAAGGACTGGGCCAATGGAGAAAAGAAGCAGTGGCTGACTCAGTGTACACGGGAGAATCAAAATAACCAACACTCACTACGAAAGAAATTAAGAGGGAGTGGGTGAAATTAGGATATTGGCATATTATATGTAAAATACAGATGTATATGGGGTGAAAATGTGAAAAACTTCTGTGGATGCAGTGCAGTATAGTATTTTCCCAAGAAAAAATTCCACTCTGCCATGAAAGTTCCATATGGAATTATCCTGCCCCTTCCATCCTTCACGGCTATAATATCATGTGACATGAAAAGCAGTTATCCAAACACGGTTCTAAATTACTCTGAATAATAATCTTTTAGCTGAGAAACTGAACCTTTGCTGAGATCTTCTGCCAATGGAGATGGCAAATCCTGAAATAGAAAAAATTCCATGTGTGAAGCCACACACAGCTATAAGGAAAAGAGGTGCCCTGATGAACATGTTGGTAAAGAGAAACATTCTGGATGGAGTGTGCAAAATCTCTCCCTTAGACTTGTGGTTTTCCTTTTAACAAACAGCAACACTCCAAACAGCGTAAACAACTGAGCTCCTTATTCCTTGTGCAACTATTAGCAAGAAAGAATGGAGATTCTTCCTGGTGGTGTGTTTTTCCTGCTTTCAGGGCCTGAAATGCTTGAATCAATTTCTTGTTGACATGGAAATGTTGTAGTTCCATAAAGTCTTCTTACTTTCGGTTAGTCTGGTTTGTTGGGTTTTTTTGATTTATTTACATCCCAGACCTGTGAATCATTTTGGTGCATACTTAATTGTACCTGTTTAATACATTTGTTTAATCACGTGCTCAGTGAACTGCTGAAGTCTGAATTTGTTCAGCTTCAGTGACAGCTGTTGTGCACTTATAACCAATTACCTGCTTCAGAGTTTTGCTGGGTCATGGCTTTATGTTGAATTGGGAGCAAAACCTTGTCCCAGGTGTGCACCAGAATAGGAGAGAAGGAGGTGTGAAAGACAGTAGCTCTCATTAAACTATTGGGTTTCCTCCATGTTTTACTAGCTCCAAAGAAAATTTCCTCCTACACACGTGGGAAAGGTAAAAGACATGCCCAGGAGGTGACATCATTTCAGTGTGCATGTAAGCCATTCCTTTTTCTCCTTCAGCTGCAAAGAAGGAGGTGAGTGGGAGGTGGTACAGGTTGAGAGAAGGGAGTCTGGTTCTTCACTTTCTACGAACACAAGGTTCTTATGCTGGAAAAGAACGAGGAGTCTGAGAGATTTGATAAGGGACCTGACAGCATAAGATCAAATTCAATTAAAAAGTAGCTGACAGGTCATGCCTGGCACAGAGTGAATCCCTCTGTATCCCAGGCCATTGCACCATATAGGATGAATTAATTTTGACTGAGATACCTCAGCTCTTCAGCTTTCACTACCCACTTTAGCATATATACTAATTGTCCTCAAATGAATCCTGACAGCTGATCTTTAAGCTTGAGTCATCAGATACTCTGATTATGGCTTTCTTCTACAAGAGGGGGCCATGCAGAACAAGAGAACAGAAGGATTTTCTCTAAACCATATACAATAGCAGTGGCCTATGTGCAAACATATGAGTGAGGAGAAATTCAGAATAAACTCTTCACAACGGAGAATCTTCATTCTGTAGAGTGCAGGTAAAAATAAGAGGATTTCTACCAGCATTTGCTATAAATTATATGGCATTGAATTTTTATAACATTCTGACTTAAACGTTCTCTGATTTACTCATCTACTCCCTGGACATTGTTTATTCACTGGGTAGACCACTCTGTGGTCTACACGACATGCTGTATAGGAAGGTAGGAATACAGATAATCATTCCTGAAAAGCTTACAGTACAGAAAAAGTGGGAATGAAGGTTTACGAGGAAAAAAATCTGCATTAATAAAAAAGTTAATTTAAAAATGCTTCTTATTCCAAACGATACACATCAAAAATTTCACAACAATGGCAGTTGTGTGAGAATAGTCAGGAATCTGCTGGTCAGCTCAATCCACCTTCTGAACATGCCTGAAAACCTGCAAAGTTCTACCAAAAAAAAAGATGATTTTATTTTCAAAAGTGCTTTTCTCCTGTTTAATTTATTCACAAGTATAAGAACAAGCCAAGACATTCTCTTTATAGAATAACAGGTTATGTCTATGCTGCTCTTAAAAGAGTGTATTGAGAGTGGGTAGAGACACCATGTACTCCCTGATATATCAACCTACTATCTATATAAGTGCCTCACTGGATTCCTGCAAACAGATGGTGTAGGTATGCCGATGTCTCAGTGTGGCTGTGGTTTCATAACACATGGCGTCAGCTGGAACCGCTCACTGCCACCTCCCAGCCCAGTCCTGGGCTCTGACAGCAGCACATCATCCCCTCACACTGCCAATCCAGCTGCTGTGCGGTGACCAAATCCCACCATCAGGTCTGTGCTTACTGCAAACCTGTAAATCTGGGGGAGCCCTCAAATGGTGGTGTCTACAACCAACCCACAACATGCACAGAGGACTTTGTTCTAAATGTTCGTTGAAATTAATGTAAATTTTATATTCTGGGAATCTCTTCATTTTATCTTTCTCTCTTCATCTCTGATTTCACACTTAGTTCCTTAAGCAGAAGAGTTAGCACGAGTAGGCTGCACACACATTATTTTTCACGGGAGGTGAGTAGGAGTTTTACACTAAATACTTTTCTGTGAATTCTTTAGTTTTCAAAACATATGAGCACCTGCCTCTGTGTTTCTTGGTCACACACTTTATTAGAAGACTGATTAATTCCTTCTCCTGTTTGGCAGAAAATCAGGAGCCAATGTGTTATGGGCTTTGAATTATTTTTGAGATTTTCTTTTTCTAGGTGTGATCCCTTAGACTACAGTAATTTATATACTGAATTATAGCTGAAGAATTTATTTTTTTTTCAAATACACTTATTTCAAATCCAAAAGTTGATTACTTTTGGCTTCTGCATTTTGTTCTTCTTTAAAACCCAAATCCCATACAAGTACCAGTTTGTCCTAGGAATGTCAAATTGGCTTTACCTTCTACTTAGTAATCAAATCACCTGAAACTACCAAGTATAAACAGATGCTGATGTACAAAGATTAAACAGTCCCAAGTAATTCAGCAGGCCTGTCAGTTACTCTGAACTTATGCCTGCAGGTAGGAAAGTATCTATGTTCATTTGGTTATTAGACTGCCATTCATTAGTAAAGTTTTCTAGCAAATCTGACTCACCAAAGCACACAACAGCTTTGCCAGTTGGCTCATACCAAACAACTCCAATCAGTATTCATACAAAGCAAGCACTGACCCGCAGATATCCAGTGCTTTTTATGTTCACCTCCCACAAGAATATATGACCAGCTCAATACTTTAAATTACCTGACTTTTCAGGAAATTAACAAAACTGGAGCAACTTCAGATCACTTATGAACTGCAGCTGCTACAGTTTTAATTCCAAGACTATTAAATGTAAAAATCTATACATTTTAATCGCATGACTGTGTTCAAAGTTCCCAGTTTGTCCAGAGGTTATTGGTTACCTGTTTTGAGACAGAAATGGGAAGGAAAGGTGAAGTGCTGTGCTGAACCCCTTACCAGAATACAAACTCTGGATGTCAGTGGTTTCTACCGAGCTTTAACGCAAGGAATTCTCCTCCTTCTAAAGTACAATTTAGAGTAATATGTAGATGCTGTAATTTCACAAGATTATCACAGAACAAAAAAGGAGAAGTCACTGAATGATTTTTTTTAAATTATTCTTCATGATATATACAATCCTTAATATGGTACATATGTGCTGAGGAGACAAGGCACCATCTCCCTGTGTTACCCTTCTGCTGTAGGTCTAAGCAGAATGATTGGTCAAAAACTCTGTGCTGCCCAAGCTGTTTTTTTCTCATTTAAACAGTACAACATCAGTTGCAATTAGAAAGTTGATCCAAGCAATCAGGAAAATGCTGTCTTTTCATAAAGTTCACTTAAAAAAATAATCTTTTTAAAGTTACATTCTGTTATTCCATTCCTTAATACTGTTTTGAGTAGTCCGAAACATAAAAATTACCTGGTGTTTAAGCCCTCTCTATGGGTTGAGTTCAGATAAAACAACTGGCAGGTTTGTGTTAAGAAATGGAACTAGTTTCCTTTCCTGTAATGGTTTTTTATATTTTTTAAAAAAAATCTTTCTTTTGGTGAATGTATTTAGTTAAATGTAGCCAGTGACAAGGTTGAACAGGATGTTTTCAGCATTCATCCTAATACCAGTGAAAACTGGTGGCTGCAGACCACACTTTCCCCATCAATAGCAACCTACTTGTGCAGAACTCATTTATATGCAAAATTTTAAGTACCTTATCCGTATTTCTACACAACTTTTAATATCTCTTAAGACCAGAGCTCACAACATCTTCATTCAGTTTTCTGAACTTCTCCATCCCCTGCAGTTATCTAGCAATTTGATTTTAATATTCATTCCATAAGGAAGTGACACTAATTCTCTCATTAATCTTCTCTTCTCTTTTAGCAGCCAAGATCTAGGAAAGTCACTTCCCATTGATCAGTAGCTTTTAATATAAAAATACAGGTTAGACGGTACAGATGTCACACTGCAGGCATAAGTGTTAATTGCGTTTTAAGATGATGATCTTTCTCAGCAAATTGGATCAGTGATGTGCCAGCAAGGACCTAAGCAATCATTCTCAGAAGAATACGGATCCAAACCCTAATGCATTTCATAATATATTATGTAGCAAACATAAGGTCTGTTAAAACACATTATTAAAGTCACCAAGGCTGCTAATTTCAGGGCACTTAAACACAGTCACAGCTAACAGGAATGGTAGCACATAAAAGCTGACAGCATTTTTGGATCAAGGGCTTAAAGAAAACCCAACCTTAAAAGGGGTAAATAAGTTATAGCATAGATCTTTCATCCTCCAAATTAAAAAAACAAGAGAAAATGAGTCCTGTAGAAATATAGGCCATCACTTACCATATCATGGTCTGACACAGGCCCAAAACTGGTGACGAAGATGTCAGTCTTCACTTCAGTTACACGCTCTGATGAAGCAGGAAATTAGGACAGTGAGTGTCTATCAACACCCTTCATTAGATCTAACCACTACCAATTCTCACAAAAAAATAGAAAAATGATTGGCTTTGATTAGCCATTCTAAAATTGGTCTACAATATGGTCCTGGTAATATACTGCTTCTAGATGTAATTTCACAGTCAATATTGTCAGCAACAGGTTTTTTTTATTACAGTGTTTCCACAGAACTTTTTGAGACATAGCTTGTGATGCCACAGTATACCAGTCACAGTTCCACTGTTGTGGAAATCTTTTCACTCCTTGATATATCTTCTTGTCTGACAATATAAACAGTGCTGAATATTGTACATAGTACTCCAAAGTTTCATTGGGTACTCATTGGTTTCTGGGCAAGCTAAAATAAGGTCTCTAATTAACCCTGGTCTTATGAGTTATGTGTTTTGTAGTAAGACACAGGAACATAGCAGAAAAAAGAGATAGAATACATTAGGGTGTATAAAAACATAAAGATGCTTTATTGGTATGAGTTAGAAATGGCTGCATTACCCTTTACTGCAATAAACAAAAAGGAGTTAAAACTTTTCTAAATAAACATCAGCTAAACTTCTCTACTGAAATCACATGTGTAAGCATTTTCTGAAAGTGAGCTCTCCAGTCACAAATTTGTTCCACAGGCCTCAATGATAGATTAGTATAAATAATAATTCAGACATCTACAACAGGTACATAACACAGATTATATGTATATGTTGTATCACAATGCTAGATTTGTCTGTGATTTCCAGGATGTAAGTTTGCTCCAAGGCCCTTGGCTATGTCTGAAGAAACTACTGATTTCAGTGGTTGCAAATGCTGAGTCTGAGACACCAGAAATGGTGCTGATCTCCAGAGCCAAACATCTGGTTCTGCACATCCACTGGTAACAGACATGTTGAGAAACACACGAGTTTAACCTGCCCCTTCCTCTCCCCTCCCTCTGCACACACCTGGGATCAGTCACTTCTGAGCATATTGGCATTTTCTAGGGTACACATAACAAAATATTCACCCAGGATGGCATATATCAAAATAACCCTGTTGATTTAAATATAGCTGCAGGGAGTAACACCACCTGGAGGCAAGAATCCAAACAGTGTTGAGTGGAGCTAACCCGAAGCTTTCCGAAGTTCCAGTGACATAAGTCTGAATATATTCCCTGCTGTGCTGTACAAGCCAGTGTAGGGGTTTGGGTAGAAATTTTAAACATGGAAGGAGGGATAAATTTCTGAAATAACTTTCAAAAATTAAATAAATTGAGAAATCTCGATTAAAAGTAATCCTAAAGAGAAGAGGCTAACAGAATAGTACAGGTCTAGTAAGCAGAAGTCATGGACCCAGCAAAACTTTTCCTAAGACTAACAAGTATAGGTTTAGCTATTTGTACAATGCTATTTAAATATTGTAAAATACTTCACTAAAACACCCTACTTTAATACAACCCTTTGATTTCAAAAGACTTTGGACTCTTTAAATATGGTTTGTTCCATCTAGCAAGAAAGTTCTGACAGAAGAGAAGCGAAATTAAGGAATCAAGGTTAAGCAGCCAATAACAACATATATTTCTGTATCTGATGCAGAAGTTCTAACAAGAATCAGTATTCCACAATGCACATATGGGCCTTTCACTTTAATTCAAAAAAGTGTGCAATGTCTAAATATATGTAAATGTAAGCAGTCTAAATGTTTATTTTTCAGATAAATGTTTATAATAGAGACAATAAAATATGTCTTTTTGTGAGACAGCAAAAATCAGGATGTAGTATTAGCTCTGATTCCACCATCATTCTAGGAATGCAGTGATGACATGTATTCATTCTGTTAAGGTAATCCAAAAATTAGGTGGCATCAAAGGTAATCTCCACGACACATCAAAAAAGTTCAAGGTTGAAATTTACAATGTATTACTCATAATTACAGAAAGTAAAATCCTGTGATATAGCTGAATTGCCTAATAATATTATTTTCCTTCTTTATGATATAACAGCATTGGAGAGGCTGAAATTCCTCGTTGGGTGTCCATTTAAATTAATGTGTAATCTTATAATTGTTTACAAGCTTTTCAATTGACTTAAAGAAATTTAAGTATTTTCTTGATATCCAAATGGCTCTGGACTTTAAGAAGTTCATGGTGTGAATTTAACCTTCTCTAACGGAAAGCAGCATATGGTTGTTCAGAAATTAGTTGGCTTGGAAGGAAAAGTGTTCTGTCCTTCAGACCATCACGGTCACAAAAGCTCAAGAGGCTGTGGTCATGTATGAAACAGCTGGCAGAAGAAGAAAGTGGAAATTTCACAAGGTCCAGTAAAACATGGCTGAATGGACTCCAGCTACTGAATCACCTTTGCTTGAGACTGAGAAACTAATACCATCTTGGACTCTATTAGCCTTTTACATGCTGAAAAGTGACTCTCATCTTTCATCCTGACTCCCCATCCCTCCATCTACTTTCCACTGAGGCACTTCCACTGGCATCATTAGGAGACAGGAGATGCTGGAAGTTCTTCAGCCACAAAAGATTATCCTTCCAAAGTCCCAGCTCTGAATGAGACTCAGTATAATTCAGCTAACTGCACACACCTTGCACAAACACAGAATATGCTCTTTGAATCAGAAGCATAACATGTCCTGTTATCCTGAATTCTGGCTATGGGAGGTATGTGGTTATAGCAGAGAGGTTGAGGCTTAAGGAAATCACTTAACGGAACAAAGGACATAAAATGAAAACTTAAGCCTTTATCAGTAAGACTGGAGAGTTCCAAGGGAGTGGAAAAAAGGGCTAATGTTTTTCATTTCTATGTAACATTGAAAATAATTTAAGTGACACACAAATCATAAGTAATAATAGAAAACTCAGATTGTGAACTCACAAGAGTTTGTGTTATGTTCATACTGATTACACTTTTGCAGTGTACCTAATCCCAGGTCCCTTCAAATGCAGATAAAACCTGTATACACACCAAATGATTTCTTTTTTTTTCTTTGGTATGTTTCTCATTTTCATGAGCAATGAAAAAGTGTGTATCAACACACAGAAAAAGATTAGCCTCTCCAAAGCCATATGGAAGTTTTGAAATTTTTGTTTACTGTTTTACTAATTAGATGATTCAACTGTGCTTTGTTAAGAGCTTCAGAAGTTGTGAGTCACTCCTGCACAGGACATGTGTTTACTCATACAGTTGGGATATATATTTAGAATCAAGGTTACCCATGTTCAATTTGCAGCTTGGTCACCATGGGAAGGATGAAATTGTGCTTCAAATGCTCCGAATGCATTTTTCAGGAACCCCAAATCCTGAGCTATCTGCAAAAACTTCACAACATCCCTTAGAACTAGAGAAAATTCTATGTCATTGAACAAAACGAGCTCAAGTCAGGAGCTGATCAGACTTGCTGAAGATAAAGCCATCAGTTCTAAAGACATATTAACCATGTCTCTGGACTATACCATCTATCTCATGAACCAGAACTAAGTCATGTAGGGGTATCTGTAGAACACGTAACAATTCCAGTAAAATAAACCCAAGGAAATTATTAATGACTTAGTGGTTTTACTATAAGGTAATCATAGGGTCGAAGTAGTCAGTGACCAGCAAAAGAGTGAGTACCACACCTAGACACTCAGGAACACAGCCTCAGGCAGCTGAGCCCCATACAGCTATGGAAGCACCAGTCAGCAGCAACTCCTGTCCCTTTATGGCTTACAAATACTGTGTCTTGCTAATGATCCTGGACTAACATATTAGTAACAATAAATATTTTGATTTAAACACCCAGGGATCTCATTACTGCTAGAATTGTGATTGGATTACAAATTGAGAACAAAATAAGAAATACAGATTTATTTAAACAGCAGGAAATAGGCCTATTTATCATAAGAGACTATACATTAACTGCTTCCCTTTATGACCTGCTGGTATTTGAGCACAAAGCTTATTTGAATCGAAGGTTTTGGTGGTTTAAAGAAATTCCATCTTTCTGGTAATGCACTTTTTTCCTCCTGCATGTCTCGTGTGAGTGTGTGCTATCATTACTAACGTGGACGATACTTTTCCTATGGTTTTGAATGAAGGGAATTTCGATACGTGATAGCGTACGCTATTATTGCTAAAGAAAGTCATGTAGACTAATCATTCCAGCCGCATCCTGTGAAGTATTTTGATTGAAGAGCCACAACAAACACACTCATAAGAATTTTGTGCTGTTGCTTTTTAAGGGTAGAGACCAAAATGTAGAAGAGAATGCTGTCCTGTGATTACCCAGCTGTAGTCTGTGCTGCTGTGAAGGGTTTACTAGGAGCTGCGCAGTGTCATGGCAGCTCTCTGCAACAATTAACAGCTCAAAGCTGCTCCTATCCTCCCTACCTCCCTACTGTTGTATAAAATCAATTCTCCTAGGGTCTTCTAAGGCTTTTTACATTTGCCTTTGCATCAATGTTATGCCTACGCAGTGGAAAAAAAGATCAAAATCAGCCCTTTCAATTTTTACAGAGTTAAGTGTAGCATCTAGTCCTTCTTTACTTACAGAATGATGTGTAGGGGTGAGGTATAGGACTGTTTTTTATTTAGAGTAGAGTCATTTAGGTTTAACCATTTTATTACACAAACAGGCCAAAACCATGCATTCCCTAAACTTTACATTAGTTCAGGTATGATAAAATCCAACAATTTCCACTGGGACCTCAATAACCCAGGGGTAAGTTTATCATGTTTATAGATAACGTTCTCATAAAACTAAATTTTAGAACCTAATTAACATAATACTGTGAAGTTTATTTCCTATCCCTTTAAATATAAGCACTCTGTGGAAGTAATGAATTGCCTGAGATGGACTGATGTCCCACTTAAGGACAGTCACACACAATTTTGATAAACATCACACAGGAGAGATAAACAAATGCCTTTTACCGATAGCATAAACCAAGTACAATTCTGCTCAATACTGAAATAACGTTGATAATCTACTTGGGATG